AATTTTTTCACATCTGAAAACTTATTTTAATTTCCATTTCACTTTATTATTTACCTTGATGAAGAATTCTAGAACAAAATTAATTTCCGGGAATTTTGGGGACTCCTTCTAAAATGGGTAGAAATCTTCTCCACTTAAAAATTCCAGATTTGATGCCAAAATAGTCTAATTGTGCCATTGCTATATAAAATTGTCCTGAACCAAGTCTTAGACACTTTGACAAGCTAGTTGGGTATTTGAATGTGGGTTCTACACAGGAGAAAATAGATTCTATTTAGGTACTAAAAGCGAATTACAGTCTTTTCAGTGCAAACATTTTATCTTAATCTGGACTGGATTTGGTTCTACTTGTAACAGTCAACTGGAATTAACTCAACTATGTAATGTGATTTTTATGGGTTATTGCACAAATTGTATTTCTTTGATTAGAAGAAGCATAATTTCTTCTAAGTTTGTTTTAGGAATAAATAGAGTATAACATTTCACTGCCACCATCCCTACATGAAAATTTAGAATTCTTGTACCAATGTATTGTTTCCTTTATGAGTTCTTTTCCTGGTAGGGTGGTGTTGTGTTTTTGGTTCGTTGGCAATTGATGAAGACACATGGTGAAAACAACAAGCTCTTTATTTCTCTCTCCTACAACCAAGCAAACAGCAAAAGACATGCAGGCCTTTTATAGTGCCTGAAACCCAGACAGTGTGGACCAATAGGAATTGATCATTTTCGCGCCTTGTGCATGCGCTCAAGGCTGGCACCACTCTGTCTGGTCCCGGGCAGCTTTTGGATTGCCCAGGATTATTTGCAACAATTCTGAGCCTGCTTTCAGCTCTTGCAGGCTCAGGACACAACACCCCTCCCCCCTAGATGAAACACACCTAGCTTATGCACAGGTGCATTGTGCAATGCAGGGAGAGTGGAACACAGATGCATTATTCAAATGCAAGGAGGGTGGAAATGCTCGGGTCTGCATGCAGGCAGACTCTTATCAAAATAATTATTTAACTCAGATAAAATATATCCAAAATCAAAATAGTATATGAGACTCTCTCTGAGTATTACCCCCCTCATTCAGCGACCTCATAGCAAGGTTCCTCGTGTGTTGACAGGAACCTCACATAATCTCCTAGATGTTTAGGCGGGCACTTTGCTCACTGTGACCTTCTAAGGGCCAGTGAGGGTGCCTGGCCTACCTGCTTGCCTACCAGGCTAGGCAGGCCTGGACTTTGATGCCCCACATACCCAGGTGACCCACCCAGCTGTTGACAGGCTGGACCCGCTGAGTCCAAGCCAGTATACCTTGGAGGGGTGGAAGTCCCCAAGTCCACAATGGACTCCTCTTGGGAACACTGTCCCTCGAGCCCAAGGCCAGCAGATGGAGAGGTCTGAATGGCGGAAATGCCCCAGTACTCCGTAGCCCCCCTGCACGGGCCAGAGGTGCCAGAGTCAGGAGCCGCCTCCATGGCAAACCCCCTTGCCACTGACTTCCTTTTCAAAGCAATAGCTGAATTATGAGAGTGCTCCTGATGGAATTCCCTTTCTATGGCTGTGTTTGATTTATGTGGATACCCCCAGTGTGACTCCCTGTCTGGAGCAGTAACAGATGTGTGGGATGACTCCCTATCCTGGGAATTCCTGCTTGGAGCACTTGTGGAGTCTTGGGATGACCCCCCAAACAGCCTCAGCAGCTTGTGAGGCCTGGGAATCTGTGACCCAGAATGCATATTATGATCCTCCCCCCTCCCCAGGGCAGAGCCAAACATGGCTGTCCAGTCTCCAACGCAGTTGGTCTATGTGTCTGCGAAGAACACGGCCATCATCTAAGGCAACTTTGTATGATACTGGCCCAGAGAATTTGCAGACCACAGCTGTGACCCAGAGATATCCAGGCCCATAGTTCCTTGCCCAAACCGGATCGCCCACCTGAAGTCTCCTAGGTGCCCGCGGTTGTGACACCTGTGAAGCCACCCGGTCTGGGTGCAACCTGTTCAGTTTGGTGATGAGGTGGCGACCCCAGCGGAGTTCTGCTGGGCTCTTCCCTGTGGCTGTGCAAGGTGTGGTGTGGTGTGCAAGAAGGAAATCTGCTAACCTATGATGCCAGTTACCGTAAGTCAGTTTCTTAAGAGCATCTTTGGTCGTGCATACCATTCTCTCTGCCTGTCCATTGGAGGATGGGTGGAAGGGAGCAGAAGTTGCATGCTGGATCAAGTTGGCCTGAAGAAAAGCCTGGAACTCAAAAGAGGTAAATTGAGGGCCATTATCTGAAACCAGGACATCTGGAAGCCCGTGCGATGCAAAAATTCTTCTCAACACCTGGATAGTCCTGGCAGTAGTAGTGGAGGAAACAGGAACAACCTCTAGCCACTTGGAATGGCTGTCACTGATGAGAAGGAAGAATTGCCCCTGAAAGGGCCCAACATAATCTATATGCACCTGTGACCATGGGGTTTGAGTTTCCTCCCACCTACAGTATGTACTGGGGCTTGAGGCATTTCAGGCGTGAACCTCGATGGCTTTATTCAGTCCAGGCCACCAAAGATGGCTGCGCCCAAGCGCTTTCATCCTTACTATACCAGGATATCCCTCATGCAGAGAGAGCAAGATTCTAGACCTCAATGAAGCTGGGATTGCTACCCTACTACCCCATAACAGGCACCCCTTGAAAGTGGAAAGTTCATGCTTCTTGTGCCAGAAGCTTTGGAACTCAGTATCTGGGCACATGTCAGGCCATCCTGACAACACCCAGGTCAGCATGCGTGTGAGCGTGTGATCAGTGGCAGTTTCTGCAGCCACGTCCCTAGCATTTAGGGGAGATTCAGGTAACTCCTGAATGGAAAGAATATTAATGGCAGGAGCAGGATCTGCCTCTATCTGTTTAAGAGGTAATCTGCTGAGGCCATCAGCATGGCCCATTTCTTTTCCAGGTTCATGAATTAGAGTGTAGTCATATGCTGACAGGAAAATGGACCATCTCAGCATATGTGGAGAAATAATATGTGGTATCTGTTTGTTAGTGGTAAACAAACCCAGCAGAGGCTTATGGTCTGTGTAGACCGTGAAATGGCAGTCATATAAGAAATCATGGAATTTCTTTATGCCAGCCACTATGGCCAAGGCTTCTCTGTCAATCTGAGCAATTTCGCTCTGCAGATGACAGAATCCTTCAGTAGTAGGCCACAGGGACTTGTATCCCATCAGCCTTCAGATGGCTAAGTACTGCTCCCACCCCATAAGGAGATGCATCGCATGCAATGCAAACAGGCAGTTGCTCATTGAAATGAGCTAAAACAGCATTTGAAGAGAGCAAGGCCTTAACTTCATTGAAACTCCTGTCATGGACTTTAGTCCACTGCCATGGAGCTTGCTTGTCTAAGAGCCGGTGTAACGGCTCAGCTACTGCAGCCTTATGGAAGGAATGCATGATAGAAATTTAAAAGCCCCAAGAAAGCTTGCAGCTCACTTTTGGACTTGGGCCTTGGGACCTGCTGCATCACTTGAAGCTTGGATTCAGCAGGGTGAATGCCTTGGGCATCAATTCTGAACCCTAAGAAGTCAGTGGAAGTGATTCCTTTCTTGCATTTATCCTGCTTCAATTTAAGGCCTGCTTTGCGAAAACGAAGCAAGACAGCCCTTAACCTTTCTTTTAAATTTTGAGATGACTCCCCAGCATCGAATGACTCTACGTCATCGAAGTAGGGACAGACCCCAGGAATACCATGAAGTGTGCTCTCCATTTGGAATATGTCAGGGGCTACATTTATCCCAAATTGCAGTCTTTTGACCTTGAAGGCCCCCCTGTGAGTTACAATTGTCTGGGCCTCTGCAGATGCCTCGTCAACAGGTAACTGTTGATAGGCCTGTGCCAGGTCAAGTTTCGCAAAAATGCACCCCCCCTTGAGGGAGGCCAGAATGTGGCTTACAACAGGCACTGGATAAGCGTGCTGTTGCAACACTTTATTCAGTGTGCACTTATAGTCTGCACATATACGGATTTCCCCATTAGCCTTGAGAGGCATTACTATGGGGGTTTCCTATGGACTAGAATCCACAGGTTCTAAAATGCCCTGCTGGAGCAATTTGTCCAGCTCAGCATCTATCTTACTTTTGAGGGCAAAAGGCACCCTTTTAGGCTTGACCCTAATGGGCATGATAGTTGGGTCTAACTGTAGTGCAATGGACCAATAGGAATTGACCATTTTTGCGCTTTGCGCATGCGCACAAGGCTGGTGCCACTCTGTCTGGTCCCGGGCAGATTTTGGATTGCCCTGGACCATTTGCAACAATTCTGAACCTGCTTTCAGCTCTTGCAGGCTCAGGACACAACAGGTGGGATCTTAGACAAGAGATGGGGGTTGTTATTCTGTGACTCTCATTTTATTTATTTGGAGTGATTTATAAGCAATTATAACTTTAACAATAACATTATTTGAACAGATAATATGGTATGTAAGTTCATGTTTACTCTTTTCTTATTTTCAACATGACTGCTTTCTCGTAAGAACTACCAATGTGTCTCACTATGTGTGTGTGTGTGTGTGTGTGTGTGTGTGTGTGTGTGTGAATGAGTATGTGTGTGTTGATCATCTTCGTTTCTTCTCTCCTCTCCATCAATTGCCTTTTTATTTTATTACCATCTTCAATCTCTTTTTAATCTTTTTGTCCTATTTTTATTGGTAGAAAATGTCCAGAGCAGCTTTATTTATTGTAGTAGAATGTACATAATAGATAATATCCTCATGGTTATCACCATTAGAAGATTTTAAAAAGTAATCAACAAAAAATTATATGCTATCCTATTTCTGAGGCCTAACCTCACAGTCCTATTTCCTACCAGAGCAAATGATGTAGGAAAAATTAGAACTATCCAATGTTTAGTACATGTCTCTTGAAGCTCTGAGCAAAACATTCCTTCTGAGATGATTTGTTCTAATTTTTAACTAACAGAACATAAAAACATATCTGTCTTTATATCTGATTTGCTAACCACTTTTCTCTTGTAGACGCCTAGATGCCAATCTGATCTCTGTTGTACCTAAAAAGAGCTTTGAAGGATTAACTGCCTTACGTCATCTCTGGTTGGATGATAACGCCCTGACAGAGATTCCTGTTAAAGCATTCAATAATCTGCCAGCTCTGCAAGCAATGACATTGGCGCTCAACCGAATCTGGCACATTCCTGACTATGCCTTCCAGAACCTCACTAGCCTTGTGGTATTGTAAGTATTTCTTTTTTCTTCCATTTATTTTTTGTAGTTTTCTTCGTTTATCAGTTGGTATGCCACATCAGCTACTGAAATAACTCAGTAGCTGATGTGGCAGTTTACCTAACAATGATCCACGTAGACCACAGAAGCTTGTAAACTCTCCTCGCCATCATATTTTCCCACCTTTTCTGCTAGCACCTCTCCATTCCATTCCTGCATCTCCCCATGGGCTCTCTTTTATTTTCTGCCCATGTTGGGTGTGCTTGTATTCCCACTGTGAGTACAGTATTGCAATGGGTCCCTTCCTCTTTTAAAAAACAATGACTTTGCAACATAAGCATGTTGGAGCAGAATTTTGGTAAAACTACTATTTTGTTTCTATAGTTCTCCAAAATCACTATTTTCAACAAAGTCTATAGAGTTCCATAGTGAATTACTAGAATGAAGAAACAATATGTTCCCTTTATTTTTATCACTATAGTAACAAAGTAATGGTGCTAAATACTGTATATGGAGAAAAAAGAAAGAACAGCTATCAGGACATGCATCTAGAAATGAGAAGAATCTCATGTCCACCTCAGGCTTCTGTAAATCTTATAGCAACCCAAATTGCCTCAACCTCAAGCCTTGAAAACAGAAGAAAATCAATAAACTCAATCAGCTTGACATTTTGAATAAGGATCGTTCTCCATCAAAAAGAAAATAGCATGTGGTAGAATACAATAAATTCTGTATACAGAATACCACAAAACTGAAATTTCAAATTCAGTTGAAAGGAAAAGACAACACTATCAAGCCAGCAATCGCCTTACAATACCGACTAGGGTTCTATAACTTATTGCAGGGACTTGTCCAAGACCAGAAGGTGAAAGGAAAAGTGAGGAAAGAATTTCCTCAAGTCCAAAGCTTTGCAGAATGCTGGCATTTCCAGCTGAAAACCAATTTCAGGTTAGGATTTCTTGTATGGTAAGTGAGCTAGAAATAAATTGATATAGCTGCTACAAAAGGATGATATCATGAGATGACAGGCATGAGAGTTGATCTAAGAAAAATATATAGTGTATGCTTTGGGTAGAAATGCCTTCTGTGATCCCAGTGGAAATCTGTCAACCTAGCAAAAGTAATATCTATCTTCTCCTACACATGCACGTTTGTACAGATAGAATGAGCTAAGGAAGAAAGCTTGTGGTGAGCTTCTTATACACTGTAAACTTAAGTACCACCCTAACCAGAAAGTTACTGAAATAGCCATTTTTGAAAAAAGACCAAAGAACAGCTGCAGAGATGTTCTAGGAAATATGTCAGTTACAGCTTGATTAATCCTTCTGGATGTCCCTCATCTGCATTTCATTGCTGAGGATAAGACCTTTCCAGGTGCAGTAATATGTTTCCTGCTCTGCACACCTTGGACCAGAGGGAGCTACATGCCTGTTCATCCTCTGATATTGGAAAGAGCCAACTTCAAAATATACACTTTCCAATCTGGAACAAGTTAGGGGCATAAACTGTGCAAATAAATTACATTCCCATTAAGAGAATGTATACTAGTTCCATCTGTTCCTTCCGTAAGACTGTAACAGCAACACAGGACATTTTCTAAACCAGGGAAGTCTCATATAGACCAGCTCTTAAGAGGAAGTAGAGGAATCAATTTTCAGTCTGCCATGTGTGGCACGTGCAGCTTTCTGCATGGCAAGATTTTGTACATCCTCACTTTAAGCAAGGATTATATTTAACTGTATTGTTTGGAAAACATATGGAGACCCATTAAAGCATTTAAAATCTGTCTGAAAATGGAAAGGACAGAAAATATCTCAGAATAGTTATAGAAAACTTTATGAATTTTGAGAAGTTTTTGAAAAGAACAAAATATTTAATGTCCCACCATAAGTAAGCTTAAAAATAATTAATGAGAAAGTCAGTGACTGGTCTGATGAGTAAATAACAGGACAGTTAATTTTGAACAGTTAATATACTCTATCTCTTGTTTATTGATTAAGTTTTGGAATCACAGAAATTATTATAACCAAAAGGCTGGCTATTTTCAGTCCAAATGAAATAGAATCTCAAGTAAGAATTTTTGCTGTTTCTGTCTGTAATTGGGCTCTGAACCATGAAAAAACAGGTTTTAAAATGCTACTAAAGCATTTGTTTCTTTTGCTGCAGCAGATGATAGGCAGCAGAAAAGACCTCTAGTGCTAAAATGATATTGTCACTGGGAGCTTTTTGGTGCAAGCAATTCCAGTTCAATGGTTTTCTTAATCCAATGGTTTCCTTACTTATTTGGAAGATCTAAATGGGGAAAGGAGCAAATGGTATTTTCCCAAATTGCACAGTGATGCCCACAGCCAGATGCTTTGCTCCTAGGAGCAACCACTACAACACACTAGTGATTGGGGGGGAAGGTAACACAAGCTGGGAATTGCATCCTACAAAATTTGGAGGCTATTGGTATAGAATTATGTGATAAAAGGGGAATAGATATATAATTATCTAATATCTGTTGCTCTCAAAACAAAGAGAAGGGGATGAGATAGGTTTGTATGAAGACAGAGTCTAATACCAGGATTGAATCAGAAGTAGCAAGCTTAATCAGAAATAAGTGATTTGCTGTTTAAGAAATCATATGATTCCAGGTCTCCTGGGAAACCCAGTGAAGAATACATATCAATTGGACTATGGCTAATGGGAACCTCTCATTTTATGATCTGTATGTATGTGTGTGTTTAAACTCCATATCATAGAAATGCATTAAGTCTTCAATGCCCTCCCTCCCAAGGAAAAAGTGCCCTAGGTAAATAATAATAATAGTAAAAATAATAATAACAACAACAATAACAACTTTATTGTCACTTTGAAAGTACACCAATTGGCATACATCAAAATGAAATTTCGTTGCATACAGCTCTCAAAGGGTCACCACCTCTGATATACACTCCTTGTTCGTGGCCAGCTCAAGTTACAGATCTTCCATGCTGGCATCCCTAAAATTTCTTATAACTTGAAAGAGAAATTGTAGTGGAAATACCGGTGAGCCTATAAGCTGAAGATTGGAGATCTCCAATCTCCTCTTCCAGATATCCTTTAAATCTTTATATACATGCCCTCACGTATCTTCCATGGGACACCTGACCGGATAACTGCTCCCTTAACTTAGGTCTATATGTATTTTTGTCAGAAGCACCTACAAAGCTAGCTGAAGGGTGCTTCTGGATTGATAGGATTTGCCAGTAACAACACTGTTGCCCAGATGTGTGAGAAAGATATAGGTGTCATACCGTATACTGCCTTTCTGATCATTAAAAAGTAAAAATGAGAACAAAACCCCAACAGCACCATCTGTTGTTCATCTAGCATTTTAAAATGTGGTTAGATATTTCAACCCCTTTATGGGAGAGAGACCAATCTCACAAGATATAAATGCAATCAAACTTTTATAAAAAGAAAAGACAAAAAGAGCTGTCATTTTAATAGCTCATTTTAACTTTAGATGTTAAATGCCAACATTCCCTATTGAAGAAGGTAAATTCAGTACCACAAGCAAATGATAAGACAAAACTACCTATAAATAGATAGAATGAAATTTAAAATTGTAAAGAGAAATTATTTACTCATGAGCAAAATACATGCATAAAAGGCTGAAATACAACTACTGAGTGCCCACACAGAATTAAAAGGTAGGAGCACTGAGTAAAGAACATTAACATTCTTTTTTTATATTTTTATTTTTAACCAACAAGACAAAACAGAACAAAGCAACACATAACACACATACACGCACAATATATACCTCCTTTTTTTTACAGCAATTACGTAACGGTAATCTAATATTTACATTTCCCCCTTATTCTTCTTTAAATATTTGTCCTTATAGCCCCATTATTTCTTATTTACATTTTTCTTCCTTCATGTGTACACATATTTTCACTTTTGACCTTTCCATATTTATTCTCCTCTATTATTTCTAGTCTTACTTCTTCCTCTGATGGTATATTCTCATTTTTCCAGCACTGTGCATATGCTATTCTTGCTGCCGTTATTATATGTAAAATTAAGTACCATATTTCTTTACTATATTTTCTATTTAAAATACCCAACAAAAAGATCTCTGGTTTCCAGTCTACAGGTTGGTCTATTATTTCTTGGATCCATTTTCTTATTGTAGACCAGTATTTTTTTGCAACTGGGCATGTCCACCATAGATGATAATATGTTCCATGCACTTTTTTACATTTCCAACACGTTGGCGAGTTATTCTGGAACATCTTGGCAAGCTTTGCAGGTGGAAGATGACATCTATAAAACACTTTCAACTGGTTTTCCTTAAATGCTGCCGATATAGTCAATTTTATATTTATTTCCCATATTTTTTCCCATTTCTCCAATTCTATATTATACCCGAAATTTTTTGCCCATCTAATCATTGTGTCTTTGACAACCTCGTCTTCCATTTTATATCTCAATAGGTATTTATATAAATTGCTAATTAATTTTATTTCTGTTCCATGTATAATTTTATCCAATTCTTGTGGCTCTTTTTGAATTTCATATAATTTTTTGTCCTCTGTATATTTAGATTGAATTTGTGTAAATGTCCACCAATCAATCTCTCTGCCAATGTCTTGTTCCAATTCTTGTTTTGTTTTCAAATTTCCCTGTTCATTTACTAATTCCTTGTATCTAATTATCTTATTTATATCCAATAGATTTGGGTATTTCAAAGCTTCTGTAGGGGATAACCACATTGGAATTCTTGTATAATGTTTTTGTTTTATTTTTTCCCAAGTCTGTAGCAATGCATTCCTAACTATGTGTCTTTGAAAATATCTGTGTATTTCATGTTTTTCGTCCCATAGGAATGCATGCCACCCTGCTTGCAAATCATGTCCTTCTATTGTTAAGACTCTGGTATTTTTCAAATCCATCCAATCTTTTAGCCAAGTTAAGCTTGATGCTTGGTAGTATATTTCCCACTCTGGTAACGCCAATCCCCCTTTATCTTTCGTGTCTTG